GCCCTCTTGAGCTGCCCTGGAGCCTGTTGGAGCCCTCTGCGGAATGGTCTTGGAGCCCGCGCCGAGGATCTCGAAAATGTCCGGGACCATCGCGGCGGCCTCCGAGGCCCGGGACGCCGAAACCCTGTAAAAACACAGCGAAAATGAGGCCTGGTACTCCCATGGAGGGTCGGGCAGCTGTTTTCGGGCCCCTGGGCTAGAACCATCGCGCGCGCTTCGCGCGCGCTCAGGTTCTAGCCCAGGCCGGAGGGGCGCTGGACGATCTTGGATAACGCTATCAAGCACAGGCGCGCGACGGCATCTGAGGAGCTTCTGGGGTGTTCCGCATGCTTCGTCAACTGGCTGTTGAGGCACCTCTTGGGTGCTTCTTGGGGGGGCGTCTGAGGGTCCCTTGGGGGCATCGGTTCTGCAATCTGAAGCCGTCATTGGCCGTCTTGGCTGCGTGGAAGCCCGACTTGAGGCCACCTGCGGCCAGATTGAGGCAATCCGGAAGCCTCCCAAGGGCCTCCCGGAAGCAGTTTTGACGCATCGAGGGCACTCTTGGGTTATTTTAAAGCCTCTTGGACGTCTCCTAAGGGCCTGTTTAAGCCCTCGGGAAGCTTTTGGGGTCGTCGTCGGACCACTTGGGGGCCTCTTGCGGCCTCCTGTGGGCCTTGTGGGGGGGCCGCTCTGCTGTTGGGTCGCGTTCCCTTTCTGGGGCCTGTCTTGGGGCTCTTGGGGCCCTCTCGGGCCGTCTTGGGCGCCTCAAGCACCGTCTTGGGGCCCTCGCGGGCCGTCTTGGGGCCCTCTTGGAGGCCTCTTTCTCTATGTGGGAGCGGTATTGGAAGCCTCTTGGGCCGTCTTGGAGCATCGGGATGCCAAAGGCTGAAAACATTCAAACCCGTCAAAGCCCAATCGTAAAACAATGAGTTGTGCCTCTTGGGGCCACCTTGGGAGATCTCTTGGAACCTCGTCGGCCCTCTTGGGAGCTTCTTGGGGGCCTCTTGGATCCGATTAGGGGCCTCTTGGGACTTTCCGAGGACCTCTCGGGGTAGAAAGCTCGGATTCTCGGTTCGTGTTTCCCTTCTTGGGGCTCTCTTGGGGCCGTCTTGGGGCCCTCTCGGGCCGTCTTGGGCGCTTCAGGCACCGCCTTGGGGCCCTCGTGGTCCGCCCAGGGCCCTCTTGGAAGCCTCTTCGGCTATCTTGGAGCTGTCTGGGAGGCCTCTTCCTCCTCCTCGTCCCCCTCCTCCTTCTCCCACTCCAACTCTCTCTCCTCCTGATCTTCCTCCTCCTCCTGCAGCGTGTTCCGGAAGGCTCCCGCCGGAACATGCTGTGCACAAGTGCTGTCACTGCTCCCGCCACCGAGCCCTGGGTGGTGGGTCAGAGGCCTCATGGGTGTTGGTTTGGATCTCGTGGTTGGCCTGTCGGGGACGTCGTGAAAGCAATGTCGCAGCTTCTCGGTAGCCGTTTTGGGACCGTTGTGGGGCCTCCTCGGGGCTGTTTTGTGGTCTCTTTAGGCCTGGTTTGGGCCTCCTGGGTGCCTCTTGGGGGCCTCCTGGGGCCTCTTGGGGGCTCCTTGGGGTCTCCTGGGGCACTCTTCAAGCGGGAGGGTCGAATTTTGGAGTCGTGGTCCCCCTCTTGGGCGCATCTTGGGGCCGTCTTGGGGCTCTGTTGGGCTGTCTTGGGCGACTCTGGGGCCGTATTGGGGCCGAGTGCCTTGGGGGGCCTCTCGGGCCGTCTTGGGCCTATCTTGGGCGTCCTGGAGCGGTCTTTCGGCGACTCGGGGCCCGCTTGGGCCGTCTTGGAAGCCTCTGGAGGTCCTCCTGGACTATTTTGGACCTCCCCGGCCGCCCCGGCCTCCCATGGGGGGTCGGAGGCGGCGGCCTCCGAGGCCCAGGACGCGGAAACCCTGTAAAAACACAGAGAAAATGAGCCCCGGTCCCCCCATGGGGGGTCGAGGCACCTGTCCTGGACCCCCGGCCGCGCCCCCAGGGATATATATATATATATATATATATATATATATATACACACATACATATATATATATATATATATGTATATATATATATATATATATATATGTGTGCACATATATATATATATATGTATATAGGTGTGAATATAAATATAAACAATCATAACGCAGGATTATCATATGAATTTACGTGGTTTTACTGATCTTATCTTTTTGGTTGAAGAACATGCAAACCACAAGAAAAGCCACGCTCCACGGTAAGCGTGCCAGTGTTGTGTGTGTGTGTGTGTGTATATATATATATATATATACATATATGGGAGATCCCCGGCCCCGGGCCCCGGGCCGGAACCCCCCTTGTATATAGGGTGCGGCCCTCTCCCGGGGCGCCCTTCCGGCGGACCCCGCGCGTTCCAGCCCGCCCAAGAGGGCTCCAGGAGCGCCGAGAGAACCCCAGGATCGCTTCAAGACCGCCAAAGATCGCTTCCAGAAGGGTCAAGAGGCGCTCAAACCGCCCCAAGAGGCCTTCAAGAGGCCCCCCACGATCGCCCCGGGAGACCAAAATAGCCCCATTCCCTTCGTAAAACGTACATTTTTACGATATCAGCTCCCTTAGCTGTCGGAGCGGCCAGAAAGCCCCACGAGGCGCCCAAGGACGCTCCAGGACGACTGAGGACAGCCCCAAGACGGCCCAGGAGGGCCTCCCGGGACGCTCCTCCGGCGGCCCCCGGGCTGCCCAGTCCGCCCAAGAAGGCTCCAAGAGCGCCGAGAGAAGCCCAGGATCGCTTCAAGACCGCCAAAGATCGCTTCCAGAAGGGTCAAGAGGCGCTCAAACCGCCCCAAGAGGCCTCCAAGAGGCCCCCCAAGAGCGCCCCGGGAGACCAAAATGGCCCCATTCCCCTCGTAAAACGTACATTTTTAGGATATCAGCTCCCTTGGCTGTCGGAGCGGTCCGAAAGCCCCAGGAGGCGCCCTAGGATAGCCCGAAGACAGCCCAGGAAGGCCTCCCGGGACGCTCCTCGGGCGGCCCCCGGGCCTCCCAGTCCGCCAAAGAAGGCTCCAAGAGCGCCGAGAGAAGCCCAGGATCGCTTCAAGACCGCCAAAGATCGCTTCCAGAAGGGACAAGAGGCCATCAAACCGCCCCAAGAGGCCTCCAAGAGGCCCCCCAAGAGCGCCCCGGGAAACCAAAATGGCCCCATTCCCTTCGTAAAACGTACATTTTTAGGATATCTCATCCCTTGGCTGTCCGAGTTGTCAGACAGCCCCAGGAGGCGCCCAAGGACGCCCCAGGACGCCTGAGGACAGCGCTAAGAGGGCCTAGGAGGGCTTCCTGGGACGCTCCTCGGGCGGCCCCCAGGCCTCCCAGTCCGCCCAAGATGACCCAAGAGACTTCCCGGTCGCCCCGAGAGGGCCCCCGGAGCGCTCCGATACGGCCCAACATGGCCTCCATAGGTCTTTCTATGTTTTGAGGCCCAGAATGAGGCCCTCCAGATTTGGTCCGACGATGTGGCGCGGCTCCAAGGGGGGGGGGCCTAATATTGCAGAACAATACAATATGTAGCATATGTAACAAGTATGCAATCGTTGGATACACTGGACACGTTGCATTAAAGCATCCGCGGACCTGCCTCTGGCAACACGTCATTTTCGGACGTAGATTTCCCGCGAATCGCCACGGAATCGGACCCGTGCTTGCGAACACCGCTTTCGGAGCAAACTAGAACCTAAGCGCGCGCGAAGCGCGCGCGTGGTTCTAGTATATATATATATATATATATATATATATGGGGAACTTTAATGAGACGGCGAACGCATAAAACCTAAGACAACAATCCTATTCAGGTACATAGTGTTTTATGCAAAACTAATTGTGGGCTTCTTCGGTCGAAGCGGCAAAATAACACTCCGCAGTAGTTGCGCCAGTATTTAACTTGTAGCAATCACGAACGCGATGGCTGGAACAATAAAGCTCAGATAACAATATTACTTTCTGGATTGGGCTGTTTTTGCTGAATTGCTCGTTTTGTCTTTACGGAGAACGCGAACGAGTATAACACAGTGTATTTTGAGGTTTTAATCAAAGGCGTGGTTTGGCCTGGGTGAAAACATGTTTTTGATCATAACTAGTCAACAAAAACAAGGCCGCACAACGTTTCTTTCTTTATTTCTTTCTTTCTCTGTCTCTCTCTCTATATATGTATGTGTATAAACATATGTTAGATGCAGGGGACACATGAGGACCAACATAACTTTTTTGTTTAAACAGAAAACGAAAAGCCACCGCAAACCGACTCCCCCCGCATCAGCTGGCAATCTGAGAAAGATGCGACTGGGTTAAGCGGAGGCCAGGGCGGATGAATAGTAAGTAGAAGAGGAAAGAGGAGAATGACGAGGATGAAACAACGCACGTTTCTGCGCAGCCGTCGTTTTGCCATCCGCGCGCGGAACAACACATCCGGCACGAGAGGCTGGATTTGGGCCAGCGGGGGTAACGATGTGTAGCTTCACGTAGCCCACATGAGCCCCTCAACGAAGCTTCAACCAAACCGCGCATACTGGTTGCGTGGAACAGCTCCTGGGTTCTTCGGCCTGCAAAAATAAAATGACGCCTAACGGGAAGATTGCGGTGGGGCCTTTCGAAACCTTGCTCCTTACATCACGGTCCCCTACTCACCCCAGCCACCTCGGCATATTCAATGCAAGAGTCGGACCCGTCATCCTGGTGGCAAATACGCCATGCAAGGAGGGTCTCTTTGGCACTGACTAAAACTTGGTGCGTCATGATTACAATGGAGTGAAGCCCCGGTGCGACCTTGGGCTGGGCTTGCGGGTCTCGTCTTCGCACCGCGTGCTCACTGAACTGGCTACCAAAGAAGTGGCGGCGCCTCGGCTACAGTGCTGCGATGGGCAGCGAGGCTGTGTTGCCCTCCGCTTCGCCCCCTCCAGTCGACGCTCGTGCGTCCTCACTTCCGCCTCGCCCATTCTTCCGCATTCTCCTGCTTCCCCCATCTTCTGCATGCCGAATCCCTTTGCCCCTTCGCATCCCGAGCTGCGGTGTTGATCTAAAAGTGAGGTGGAGGCGCGCTCGCGAACCACCAAGACGTCTGACATTGGAGCAATAGCGTGTGCGTGCATTGCAGATCTAAGCGCGCCGTTGTGGTATATAGAGGCAGGTACGCAAAGCCACCGCAACCTCTCTGCAACTAGAGCAACCACTCGCGCGATCTTCCACATTCTGGGTGATCTGCCAAGCTCCTTGCCTCGAACCCGCCAGGGCGTCAAGACGCCCCTATTGCTGCGACGTGTTTCTAAACGTATTTTTGTTTGTGTGGCCGACGCCGTTCCATTACCACGGCGACCTGATTATTCGCAACGTTCGCATCATGTATTCCTACCTGGTGTAAGGAACACGAGAGCAACATGCGATCAACACTACTTCCAACATCTTCGACTTTAACAAAACTCGACCCGCCCAACTTCACCTCGGATCAAACTTGAAAGTGAACATTGTCACTTTCTTTAGCCCTATACACAATGGACTGCCCGACAATTTAACGAAGACTAAAACATTTCTATTCCCAACTGGTCGATTCGCCGGCAGAACGTATACTCGCGCCCATGGAGAAAACGAAACATTAGCCTGGCGAAAGACCCGACCATATGCGTCGCTGTATGCACAGCATTCGGAGGAGCTCCCTATAAGGCCACGAAACATGTGATGGGGTGTGCACAATTTGTCCAGCGGGCGCATGCGAAAGCAGCCACTGGGGCCGACGGTGGAATTCCCTACGGGGCCTCGAAACTCGTGAGAGGTGCGCCGCAATAGGTGCGGTGGGCGCATGCGAACGCAGCCTTTGGGGCCGTCGGTGGAGCTCCGTATGGTGCCGCGAAACGTGTGAAAGGTGTGCCGAAATGGGTGCGGTGGGCGCATGCGGTGCGGTGGAGCTACCTATGGGGCCACGAAGCGTGTGCGGGATGTGCCAGAATGGGCGTGGGTGACGCATGCGGGCGGTGGCACTGGGGCCTTCGGTGGGACTCCCCATGGGGCCACGAAACGTGTGAGGGGTGTGCCGAAATGTGTGTGTGTGTGTGTGTGTGTGTTTGTTTGTTTGTGTGTGTGTGTGTGTGTGTGTGTGACTGTAGCCTCTGGCTCAAGCCGTCTCGGCTCGAGCCCGCCCCTGGGCAGGTTCGCGCCGGGCTCGCCTCGTCGCGATGGCCTCGCGCCCCTCTGGCGCCGCCGTGCGGCGGCGGCAGCGCCTGGCCGCCGCCGCGCGCGACGGGCTGCCGCCTGCCGCGGCCGCGGCTGCTGCTGCCGCGGCCGCCGCCGCCTCCCGCGCGCCGGCCTCCCGCGCGCGGCCGGGCGGGCGGCGGCGGCCCAGCGGCGAGCCCAGCGCCGCCGCCGCCGCTGCCTTCGCCCCGGAGGCTGGCGCCCGGGCGGCTGGGGGCGGCGGCGGCGACGGCTCCCGCCTGCCCCTGCTGCTGCTGCCCGCCGCCCAGCCTCCCGCCGGCGCCAGACGGGAGCCCTGCCGCTGGCGACGCCCCCGGCGTCGCGGCGGCCGCTGGCGCGGCCGCCGCCCCTCGCGCGGCCGCGCCCGCCCGGGCCGCTGCCTGCGCCGCGGGGCCGCGGCCGCTGCCGGCCTATGGCCAGCCGCGGCTTCGCTGGCGCGGGCGGCCGAGCTCGTGGCCTGCGCTGGCGGACAGCCCCACGGCCAACCTGGCTGCCAGCCCCAGCGTGCCCAGCCGCCTGCCCGACTGCCAGCCCCGCGGCCAGCCCGACTGCCTGGCCCAGCTCCCGCGGTGGCAGCGGCGGGGCGCGGCGGCTGGCGCGCCGCCGGCCGCTCCGCCGCCGGCGCCGCGCTCCGCTGGCCGCTGCCGCCGGCGTCGCGGCTGCCTCGCGGCGGCCGCTGGTGCTGCCGCTGCCGCCGCTGCCGGCCGGCTCCCCGCCGACTGCGGCGGCGGCGGGGGGCGCGGTGAACGACGCCGCCGCCGCCGCCCCCGCGGCCGGCGGCGCCGCGGCCGGCATGGCGGCCGCAGTCGCGGCGGCTGTCGCTGCCGCTGCTGCCGCCGCCGCTGCCGGCTCCCCGGCGGCGGCGGCGGCGGCTGCTGGCGCGGTGGCCGGCGCCGGCGAGGCGGTTGGCCCGCCCCGTGGCCACCTCAACTGCCAGCCCCGCGGCCGGCCTCGCGGCCCGCCCTACGGCCCGCCCCGCGGCCAGCCCGACGGCCCGCCCGACGGCCAGCCCCACGGTCAGCCTCCCAGCAAGCCCGGGCAGCCCTACAGCCAGCCCCACGGCCAGCCCGGCGGCCGGCCCCGTGGCCAGCCCTACTGCCAGCCCCGCGGCCAGCCTGGCTGCCAGCCCCACGGAGAGCCCCGCGGCCAACGCGACTGCCAGCCCCACGGCCGGCCCGACTGCCAGCCCGACTGGAGCAGTCCACTGGTGACAGCAGGAGGACGTCCCCTGGCGACAGGCAGCGGCAACCGCAGCGAGCAAGGCACCCTTGCATCCCCGTGTCCGAGTCCTGACGCCCTCGCGGGCACCCCTGGCGGCCAGCAGACCTCTCAAAGAGGAGCAGGGCCCGGAAGGACAGAAGGGAGTGCAGAGGTGGCGCCATCGGGCTCACAACGAGGAGCAGGGCCCGTTAGGCCAGAGGGGACGGACACGCTCCTCACGGTTCTGACAGTCAGGAAGAGGTCCCCTTGCACCCCTGCATCCTTGTGTCCTTTGGCTTTCAAGGCACCCTTGCCTCCCCTGGGCTGGGCCCTAACGCCCTCGCGGGCACCCCTGGCGGCCAGCAGAGCTCTCAAAGAGAAGCAGGGCACATTAGGCCAGAAGGGAACGCCGCGGTCGTGTCTACGGACTCCCAAGGAGAAGTTGGGGCAGGGCCCGTAAGGCCAGAAGGGAACGAAGCGGGTGCGACGTTGGACTCACAGGGAGAAGCAAGGATCGTTAGGCCAGAAGGGAACGGATACGTTCCTCACGGTTCTGACGAAGAAGTTCCCTTACACCCTTGCCCCGTCTCCTTCGGCGAACAAGGCGCCCTTGCATCCCAGTGCCCGGGTCCAGACGCCCTCGCGGGCGCCCCTGGCAGCCAGCCGGCCTCTTCAAGACAAGCAGGGCGCGTTAGGCCAGAAGGGGGCGCTGCGGTTGTGTTCTCGGACTCGCAAGGAGAAGCAGGGCCCGTTAGGCCAGAAGGGGCGTAGGTTTCGGTCTCGAGCCCCCGCCCCCTTCCTAACAGCCACTCAGACCCTGGACCAGAAGGTTGCGAAACGGGTCGCCTCCACCGGAAATAGCGCGGAGATAGTCGCGAGTCGCAGGAGAAGGAGGAGCAGGAAGAAATCAGGGAGGACCTGTTCTCTGGACAAGTCGACCTTCGACATCGTGGTGTCCTGATCCCTCCTCTCTCCCCTATCCCACGGGCAATTGCGACCGTTAGTCGCCCAAAACCCGCCCGTACTAAGGCAGGCCCTTCCTGTTGCGTTCCCTGATCTCTCTGGAGATGCGACCGTTAGTCGCCCTGACCCCGCCGGCGCCCTTGCATCCCAGTGTCCGAGTCCTAACGCACTCGCGGGCGCCCCTGGCAGCCAGCAAACCTCTCCAATAGAAGCAGGGCCCGGTAGGCCAGGCGGGGGCGCGGCGGTTGTGTCAGATACAGGGCCCGTTAAGCCAGAAAGAAGCGACGGTGTCTCGAGCCCCCGCCCCCTTCCCGGCAGCCACTCAGACCCTGGATCGCAGGGGCGCCCCACAGCTGCGGCCACGCTTCGAGCACGTGCGGATTAGGATGTCACTCCCCCTGCGCTTGGATTCGCGTGCTCTGCGGCAGCCTTCCTTGACGGAGATGAAGCATTTCCGACGCTTCGCTTTGCCGGCCGGGGTGGCGTAGCCTGCAACTGTGCAGCGCGTGGCATGCCCGTGCAGATCCTTGCCGAGCACCTTTAAGCCGCATTTCTTGCAGTGGTCCACCTCGTTCCATTGAAGCTCAGCCACGGCAGGGGGGTCGCCATCCACCGTGCTGACAGGGTGGGCGCGTGGCCTCGCCCCCCGAGATCCGCCGCCCTATCCGCCAGCTCATTATCGTGGGCGCCCGTGTGCCCGTGCACGTGCTCCCGCGTGATTGTGCGTTTCTGACGCGCGCGCGGTGGGTTCCCGCGCGGCGTCCGCGAGTTCTTCGTTTGACTTTTCCTTCCGCATCGCGTGCGCGATGTTGGCTGCGCAGTCAGAGTCGCGCCGAATGTGTGCGGGTGAGGGGGCCCCTGAGCTCCAGCCTGGCCGGACAAGAAGGCTTGCGGCGACGCACGTCGCATCCGAGGTATTCTTCGCAGTCCGGGCATTGGTGGGAGATGCCAGTGACCAAATGGGGTCTCGCACCGAGTGCGCCTCGTCGTAATGGCACTGCAATTGGTTGCCCTTGCTGAACGCGCGCTGGCACGCCGGACAGCAGTGCCCATCGTCGCCCACCAGAGGGGGAGAGGGGGGGGCCAGGGGAGGAGGAGGGGGGAACGGGGGAGGAGAAGGAGGAGGAGGAGGAGGAGGAGGAGGAGGGGGAGGAGGAGGAGGAGGAGTGGGAGGAGGGCCCCCGGGGGGCCCAGCCCTGGCGGGCGGCGACGGGAAGGGCCATCCGGGCTTCCATCTGTTGAGGGCGCGGTCATGTGCATCGCTGGTGACGCCCGCCGGGAAAGTCGCGTCCACTTTTCGCTTCCAGCCCGGCGGAACCGGTCTATCTCGTGAATCTCCAGTCTGCGGATGCCCTTCCGAAGGAAGGCAGTCTGGGCGTGAGGGCCGCTGTGGTCCTCGTCGCCCCGCCTCGCGTCAAGCCAACCAAACGAGACCTGCTTAAGGGCCCGCCGCGCGGGCGCGCGGGCGACGTGTCCTAGCCGTTGGAAGGGTGAGCGGGTGATGGCGTCTTCCACCGTGCGCCACTGCGCTGCCTCGTGCATGGCTGCGTCCGAAATGTGATGTTCACGCATCGACAAAACCGAACGAGCGGCGGACACCGTAGTTGACCGCCCGTTGCAGACGCGCGAGATCCCGGCGAGCCGATGTGCGAGAACGACGCCCTGCGGTGATGGCCGTGACCGTGCACGTTTGCATCGCGTGCAACCTCGTCGTAATCGATGCGCCGCTGCCGCGGCCGCGACCGTGGGCC